GACGCGGCACGGACCTCGCTCGACTCGACGGTGTTGTTCGACTCGTCGGGACATCGGCACCGTCCCGGCTCCGGTTTGGGTCACCTGGAATCGATGGAAAGCTGGTGAGGTGATATTCCCTAGGTCAATCCCCCTTCTGGTGAATCTTCCTTCAAACCGGAAAGGGGACCGAGACCTGGAGGGACAAACCGATGGATGGGGTGGGACGGTGACGCACAGAAGTTACAGGTACGGAATGAAGGTGGTGGCAGGATGAAGGTGGTGGAATTCGGTCGAGGGAAGCCAAGGAATTGACCGTGAAAGTTTACTGAAGATCGAATGAAGATGGATTATTTGGAGTGATTTGTCTTTTGAACCACTGGCCAGTGGAAACATGTGGAAACACTGAGCAGGAAAAGGCCACAGCCTTGTTAGAATAAGGCATGTTTGTCCCAGGAAACGTGGATCACCTGTACAACTTTTGGGGAGAGATGGGGAGACCCCACCGAGAGATGCGAACCAGTGGCAAGTGTTCGGCTCACCTGTACGGGCATGTTCTGGCGATGTGCGTCGGGAGTCAGTTGTGAGAGAGTCAGTTGTGGATGCGATGTGGTCCATCAACTACCTGAAATCCAGTGGCAGATCCACTGCTGCCTTCCAGAGGCCATCAAAATTCTTTGATTTTGCGGGGGGTCACTGGCTCGGTTGAGCCACACATAAGTGTTCAATCAGAGCTCATGTTTGTTTATGTCTTTTTTTTACGAGGCAGAATCACTCAACATCTTCGAAGGCACTTGGACGATCCTAACGGAAGAGCATGCCGGTCTCTACATGTCTCTACTGTCCACCCTGAAGAATCCTTCCCAATGTTCACCTCACCTCACGCGTTGCGCTCATCTGTCCCGCATGTCCCCACTGAACGCGCGCGAAAGACGTCCTCTTCGTGCTCCGCCGTCGCGCGATGCCTCGCCAGCTACTTCTCCGGCGGCGGAGCACGACTTCGAGTGGAGACGAGCATCTCAGACCTTCAGATGGATAGGGAAGGGGAGATCTGCAGGGCGCCCTCCTTCCATCCGCCGAGTGATAATCTGATCAGCTGCCAGTGGTTTTGCCGATGTTTTGTGGATGATTCTTCTCCACCGAGCTGGGTGAATCCACTGTTGGGAAAGATGTGTTTTTCTGGTCCCTCTTCAGGGACAGCCAATCCAAGTGGTGAAGAAGTAGCTGCTCTGAAGGCATAGGGACTGACCACAGTGAAACCACGTCAGGAGGATGGGAAGTTCATGTAAGTTCCATCTCCCATCTCAAAAAGCTTGACATATATTGGAGCAGGATTGATGGTTTTTGATAAATCGAAGCTGACAGAGATGAATGAATGGAGGACCCTCACTGATTGAAGTTGAGACGGTGAAGTATTCATAAATGCATATAGTGATGTTTAACTTGTGCATTGTTCTGTACTTTTATGCCAATCTTCTGCAGTCTGTTTACTTGGACCAGTCAACAGTCATTAGCTCAGTCATGGCGTCCGTGTAGGCCATACGTTGGGTCTGTCCGTTCTTACCTGCAACAGTCAGTAGATAATGAGCACTATTTTTGAACAAGGCCTGCAACTGAACCATCATCATCCACTATTAAGCCCTGGAAAAAATAGAGTCCACCCAAGCCCTAAGGAGGCAATGCAAATGTCAATGCCCATGGGCCATGCCCGGCCCATGCCCCTATACTCCCAGGCCACCATCGTGCGGCCGATTTAGGGGTGGGCTACGTCAAGGCCGGCCGCTCGCTGCCTGGGCCCAAACAGCTCGCTCGAGCCCCGTGCCCTCAAGCTGCGTGGAGGATCAAACACATCGCGAGAAGTCAGGGCAAGAAAAAAAGCGGCTGTTTTTCTTAAGGGGTGAAAGTGAATGTTTGATCATGTTTTTGTTTTTTCCGAACTGGGTGAATCCCAAACATTTGGGGAATCTGTTCTATTTTAGTCCCGTTCCTTCAACAAATCCGAGGACAAAGAACTGGGGAAGACCTGTTGTTCTTCATGATGTGCCAAAGCAAAGGTCTTGAGAAAAAGCGTATATATGTATTGTATATTATATATAGACTGATATATATATATAATATATACTGTATACATATCCAGTTTGTTTGTCTCTATCTGTACCGCAATAGCACCGCCACAATTGTTTTATTTGTTCAGGTCCTGACCTTAAAGACACCCTTTTTGGGGTGTCTTTTTGTTGACCAGATTCTGCAGTCAAATGACCAACGATCCGATCCAGAACTGCACGGAGATGGCTCCCGGCTCCTTCCTGAAAAGGACCACTCGTTTCGGAAGAACCAACAAGGCCAAGCAGAAACCATGGTACATGATTGGCTCCTGGAGACCGGAAGTGCTTCTCTCACTATCAGTTCCTCACCAGTGGATGGGCTGAGGAGCGTTCACACAAGTCTGCAAGTTGGTGTGTGGAGACTGGAGAAGTGCTTCGGAGACGGAGGACTTGGGTCATTGGCATTGGGCTTCATAGCTCCACCTGAGAAAGCCGCGCAGGCCGCGGGGAACTACGCGCAAGGGGCCCCAAGATTTGAGGCCGAAGCAGAGACGAATTAGAGATACAGCATTCAGAGGCTCCAAGAATTCATTAAGTATCATATCAGAGTCGGTTTTAATCGAACATATTGGGTTTTTCCATGGTTTTCCATGAATTCTGTATGTTTGGTGAAGGTAGGATAGAGTTTGCAAGACCGCGCAGCTTGTGCCTGGTGAGTTTGTCCAATATCCAACAAGCAAGTCCGACCAGCAGCTTTTTGCACCAACAGCGGCGGCCGGTTTCGGACTCAGGGGTGCACACCAGGTAACAAGTTTAGTAGACACACATGATCAAGAAGTGTATAATTCAGGAGGTAACTCTTATGAGTCATGTAATCCTTTGCCTATGCGGCTATACTGCTGGTTTATGGTATGGGTCCCTCGAGGAGGTTGTGGAAGGTATGTGTTTTTTGGGGGTGACAACACGCTTTTTATGGGATGAACGTGACTCTGGGGTGGGGTGGGGGGGCTGGGGTAATGGCCTTCATGGTTGATGCTATGGGGAGGTCATTACCCCAGCTAAGCTGGCCTACATGCAAAGCTGGCAATTTCGGTATCGCAAAAGAGGACAAAATCTCTTTCGTACCATCGCCAAGGCGATGCGCAAACGCCAAGAAGCACGTGAGGATATCAAAAGGTCGGCACACTGCTGCCACTGAAAGGAACACCACCCAAACCATGAAAGACTGGTTTCCGAAAAAATGCAGGTTTTCTATTGGAAAGTACCATGCGCGTGAAAAAACATTAAAAAAAAGGAAAGACTTCCACTCAACTCCAACATTCGACCCACCCGGCCGTGGGGCTTCGGCCATGTAGCAGGTGCAGTTCATACGGCGCGCGCGCGACGGCCCCTCGGAGGGTCCGTGCCTTGCGAGTCTATTGCCTACAGACCGACATCTACAGACCCCTACAAGTCCAGTTTGACCCAGTAAAGCAAACCTGGTCCTGAACACCTCGTTGAGTAGTGTGAACTTGTATGACCAACTCCAGGTCTTTCCAGTTTCGGTCAAACTGACCGGAATGGGGACTGAAATCCAGACCCGAGGATCCGGAAGAACCCAATGCGTTTTCCACTGGAAAGAACGGGTGGCGGTGTCCAAAACCCGCAAACGCTCGCTGAAATCAGCCCAGCTACTGGTTGATCTTGGGTTGTCGTCACTCCACTACACCCTGTTTCGTATGGATATCCTTCTATGTTCCAACAATGGCGGCCAAACCTTTGCGGCCAAACGGAGCTTGAAGACCTCCGCCCATCCACCCCACTCCACCAAAGACATGTCGGATGCGGTTTCTCCGGGGTACACCGAGGCCCTGCTTTCAGCCGCAGAAAGATGCCAAAGAGAAAGGCCCTGCTTTCTCAGCCGGGGTGTGATGGGGCGAGGCCTTTGAATAGGGAGACACCCGAGACACCGGGGTTTGGTCTATCTTCCTTCTTTGAGCGGGTCATTCCCTGAAAGTTCCTATTTCGACCGACCTGTGGGTTTTGCAGAGCGCTGCCGAGCACGCGCAGAGCACTGAGAATGGCTGTGTTTCAATTAAATAGGAAGACCTCCCACTTCGACCCCCTGGAAAAGCCAGAATTCATTGGTTGGGGGGGTCGCCTCTTAAATGCACACCCATACATTTTGGTGGTGATGGGGCACCAACTGGAATACTTATAGTAGGTGGCGCCATGCAAGCCTTGATTCGGAAAAAACACTGCTGACATAAAAATGCAGTGGTGTCCAATACCTGTTTGACCATTCTTCTGGAAAGAAATTGCTGACGTAAGCGTGAACATGCAGGGGTTTTCACTCTATACATGCTTGAAATAGGCGGCCTTTGTGCAAGCAATTGATGAGTTCTTGCTGAGCAAAAATAATTTATTGGAGGCCCCAGCTGGTGGTAGTTCAGAGTCTGATTCCGATAGACAACCAAGGATGCATTGCACGGTCCAAACGTTCTGGACATCCTGAATCGCGAAGACACTTGTTTGTGGATCTACCAGGGAGTCTCTTGCAACCCATCATGTTCACGTCAAAGCCCCGCTCAAAGAGGCCATGTGCCATCGACATGTTGCACATGTCGTGCATCTTGTGTTCAAACCTCCCATCATACAGAGCGAAGTGACCATGATCGATGACCAGGCCCTGACCAGGCGACTGTGCTATGGATCACATTGGTGTGAAAGCATTAGGGTTTGGGAGCGTCCAATCTCATGGTGAGATATCCCCCTAGCTGACCGTCAACACCAGCTGCCCTGGATCCGTAGGACCGGTTTTTACTCCAAGGGGGTTGTTCCAAAAGTCTCTTCCACAGATTGGACCGCTTTGCTGACCAGACTTGGAGGACCAACCAACACCTTGGCTAAGGATTACCTGGAACTGTCATAGCAAGGATTAGTTGGAATTTGAGCACGAGTCACTTTGACCTGGCCACACGTTTTTGCGCGCTTCCCATGCTCGCCGTGCGACGCGCCGCGGTCCGATCGCGCCTTCCACTGGTCGCTTGGACGGGCACACTTCGGCCACGCGGCACGAGTGACGAGGCGCGGGGTGGCGACGTTTGTTCGGCTGGACGGTGGTTCTTCGAAGCAGGGAAGCAGCCCAGACCATCCATGGGACTGGAATAGTTATACATTTAGCCCCCATGAAAAGGATCCCAATGTAGCTAATTAACGATTCTATACATGGGTGGTCTGGGCAGGGGTTCTTAGAGCCCTAAACCCAACAAACCTGAAAACCACCTACCTGAGCCCTCCAAGAGGCTACCTGTGTTTCCTGGGTGACGAGTCTAGTGTCCAGAAACCACCTCTGGTTGAACCTGTTGGCAGGCCCTGTTATTGATATTTAGACTCGTTCAAAGAGCATTTGGAAGCTCCTGAATCCAATACTAGACATGACATAACTAGTTGGGCTTGCAGGTGTTTGGCTGATGTTAAGACTAATAGGTGTCCATTGGGTTTGTTTTCAGTCAGGTGCTCGTGATGGGGCTCATGTGCGGGCCTTCTCCTGAAGATATATTCCATCAGGCATTCACGTTGAGTGTTTCCCCATAAGCTCGCGATAAGCTCGCGTACTCCAAGCGCTGATGTACCACCACTGCCAAATTCATCCAAATTCAACATGGATGCTCCCCCAAAAAAACAAATCGCCCGCTCGGCGTATGCCACGGACAGGGCACATATTAAATCACCCAAAGTCGATTCACGGCCTTCGCACCGTGAGAGGGACTGGCTGACAGGCTGTCGGATCACTCAACAAAAAGGTAATGAGAGGGACTGGCTGACTCTCCAGGGACTGATCCATCTGAGGATGGTCCTACTGATGGTCCTATAGATCATTATAGATCCCAAGAATGACCAGATTGATCGTAGGATCAGAGGATTCCAATCAGAAGGATCGAGACAACCTTTTGGGCCGAAGATGAAAAGGAACACAGATGAAAATTCAACTCGAGAAGAGCAATAACGTTTTCAGGTGAGCCCTACAGATACTATGATATTTGTTGTATTATTTTCTTTCGAAGAAAAAACAGTAAATTTACCATATCATTATCACATTTTATAACTCCACTTCCTTCTCCCGAACAAAGAACAACTAAAGAAAATAGGATCAAAAAGATCTTTATAAATCCATCTTCCATCATCTCCTCGCTCTCCACGTACCAACCACTTCAACCACGTCTTCGTCCTGCTCCTCCTCTTCCGGATTACCCGTCTCGTCTCGTCTTCGTCCTCCGCTCCAGGTGGAGTTGATCTGCCTGCCCAACGCCGTGGACCGCTACGGCACCGGCGATGCCGTCGTGAAGCTCTCGGTGAGCGGCGCCTCGGGACGGACCGGGTGGTCGAACAGATCGAACAGGTCAAAGCTCCCCAGCGGTTTTCGGAGGTGTCGTTTTTTGCTGGGGTGTGTTTGACGGTGGTAAATCAAAACACATGTTTTTGTTGTACTTTTTTTTTCATGGAACGATTACTTCAGTAACCCCCTGCTGACATGTAAGATGAATTTAATAAATGTTTTGTTTCCATAGAAAACATGTTTTATAGTTTAAAGTTCTATGCGGATGTCAGTTTTCTGCAGGTAATAAATAAATATGTTTCTAATATGTGTTTCGAATTGCTTCTCTCTCCGGTCCGTTACCTAGACTCATGGTTTGTAGACAGAGTTGATCTTGTAGACTGGGGGGGGGGCCAAAAAAAATAAGCAGAAGAGCATCATCAGGAACGGTGGAAGAACAGCTATGGTACTGCCCGTCTTCTTTTGACTGTGATGAAGGAGTTTTCTTGCATGTGGTCTAAAGTGGCTAAGAATGAGCTCATGCAAAAGCTTCGCCAGATCGAAGTTGACAGTCCATTGACAACTTCTACTTTGGATGCTTATCGTGATTGGTGGCTGAATTCCATTTGCTCCACAAAAGAAAAAAGGAGGTCTCTGCTGTTTCTCTGGATGGACATGAGAAAATAGCCACCCGATGCGAGGGCGAACCTCCAGCACGAGGTGGTCGACCCAAGGGCAATGGTCATGTGAAGTATTTCAACAATGGCTGGTTTATGATATGTTCTCCCGAGAATCAGTTGATTTTGTCCGTGGTGGAGATGTTTGAGCCAGAGGGTCACCAGGTTGCTTTGGAATCTTTGACGAAGCTCCTACAGCATTATCCCAACATCAACGCGGTGATCTACGATCGTGCGTGCTCCGTTGTTGCTGCAGCCCGCAAAGACAAGGCATTGTCAGGTATCAAGCACTGGTCAGTTGACAAGTTTCATGCCAAAGGCCATGTTCATGAGTGTCCTGGTCATCCTGAACGGCTTCCTGCTCTGAAACGGAGATTGAAAGGATTGAACACGTCGATCTCTGAACAGACTTTTCTTGGTTCCGCGGGTACGCCAGCACATTCAACAACATGGCACCGGATACACAAAGATTCTTTGTTTTGGTCTACGCTCGCCGTCACAACATCATGGTGCGCAAGCAGGACACTAGCCACTTGAATCCGTACTCAAGCCACAAGAAAACAGCTGCAGCATCAAAGGGATTGAAAAGACCCGCTAGCCATGCCTATGCACGTGGATCATCAGCATCTTCTCTGCCTGTGAAGAGATCTTCGGCTTCCACATCCTTTGCAAAGCTTCATTGAAGAGACCTTCTGCATCTTCGAGAAAGTGATCTATTTCATTCAAATGCTCACCTTTGGCTTGCCTGTGTATGTCTTCACACATGGGCGTCCAGATCTTGATCTTGCCAATGTATGCCCTCACACATTGGCCTGAAGGGTTTCATCTGGACAGTAAACATAATGTGGAAAGAAAAAAGTGCATTTGATAGTCTTTTGCTTTGCCTCCCATGCTTCCAGTCACACTCACGTATCTACATAATAATGTGTATGTATATACATATGTTGGTGTCTGTGCCAGTGTGTGCATTTATATACACACCTTTTTATTAAAAGGAAAGCAAAGCATTGCAATCGACTTCAAAAAAATGCTAGACTCAGACCCATCTGCTAAACATCTGAAGGAAAGAACATCTTTGAACTCAATTGCCAAGACCTTGTATACATACTTGTTTCTGTATAAACAAATTATGAAAATCATCTCCTAAGAAATACAATATGGATATTTTGTGTGCAAAGTATGAATCTTTAAAGAAATTCAATATAAAGATTTTGGCAAAATATGAAAATCACATATTTTTTACTGGAAAACAACCGAAAGAAAACACCGTAAAACACACACCCGCATAGCGTCCCACACTCAGCGTTTTCGGGGATATTTTTGCTGGGGTGTGTTGTTTTTTTTGGGAGATGATGCACCATAAGAATAAGGTGCACGATAGTCACAATCTTTTTTGTTGGGGGTGATGTGTTCTTTTTGGATGTAAGGATGTAAACGGTGCATGATTGGTAGTGTGCGTATGCTTCAGAAAAACTTAGGGAAAAGCGCGCGAGATGTATGATAGATTATGATATGGTTCAGAAAAACTAGGGATTGTAACTATGATATGCAGCATGCATGTATGATATTGTATGATATGATATGTTCCGAAAATTCTAAGGCAACATGGGATCCAAAACAACATCAAAAAAGATCCATGGCCCATCCGAGGTACGAAATTCCTCACCTTGCGTTCCACTTTGGCGCACTCACCGGTCTTGGATGCCATCGTCACTTCAGCCATTCACAACGAGGACACGGAGCGTTCACCGCGGTGTGAGGAACGCGGACCGAACGAGGACCGTTAGACGCCACGTGAGGTGAGCAATGGACAGCTATGAGTCATTTGTTGAATTAGCATTATAGGAATCTACCAGCGCCTTAATGGGCTGAGCTCACCTGGCTGGAAGCCCCTACCACCACTACTAAGGGACCTCCAGACAGGACACCCCTTGAAGGTCCAGGTATATATATATATATACGTTCTAGCTGGTGGTTCGGAGGAAGCTATTGTTTTTCAGCCGGAACGCGGAGCTGATCTACAGTTCACAAACCACTGAGCAGGTTGCTATTACCCAGACGCAACCCATGGGACTGCCGTATATATGCCTAATTACATTGGGGTGGTGCCAGGGGGGGGTCTTTCTGGGGCGGCATATATTCCAGCCCCATGGGTCGTGTATGGGTTATGATTGGCACATTGGAGAACCAAAAACAAGTTTGAATGGGAGGCTTTGGAGATGTTTGGAGTTTGTTTTGGAGATGTTTGGAATTTGGAACGTCGCCTCCTTTGGTGGCAGTGTGTCAAACGGCTCTTTGACACTCGCCCCGCCACGGACGAGCAGACTCCGCAGACAGAAGGAGTTGGAGGATTTGTAGGGTTCCGATTGGATGTTGAGCTTCCAGGGTTTAATGAACCACGTTGTGTTTGATGAACTGGGCAACAATTACAGACTCGTGTTTATTAGGGAATGAGGGAATGAACCACCCCTGTAGACCCCTGAGGATCCATTCCCATATTCCCTACTAAGCACCAGTCAGATTACCTCGTTGTTTTCAGGATTCACTATGTAAATTCCGAGGCCAGCGAGGTCAGAGCAAGGTCAGAGTGCAGCACCTGGCATCGTAACAAGAACATATACCCAGTTATTGGTTAACCTTCTTCCTTTCTTTGGGGACACCCCACTCAGACTCAAATCTAACAAGTGGACTTCGTTCGGTTCACTGATCTCCCTCAGGAGATGTGCTTCTTCTGGCTATCATGGCACCCGGAGCCCGTTTCACTCACCTTTCACTCACCTTGGTAGGTTGACTGACCATATTTGGCAATTAGTCTAATTAAGTATGCATGTTTGGTGGGAAGACAACAGATCGTCTCCCGGTAGTTTGGGCATAATATGGCATTGGGTCAAAACCCCTTTTTACCCGAATTTCCTGGGCAAGTTGACGTTCTATTCTATCGTCTCCAGGTTCCATATGAGCAAGGGCCAAAACATCCTATATATGATGAATTTTAGAGGTGACCCACCATAACAGCCTAAGGTCCTACACTCCCGAAAACTAACATAGACCCTGACAATGGCCCCCCTGGAAGAGTGTGTTCCTCTACCAACCAGTGGTTTTCAGGGTCCATGTTAGTCTTCCGGGGTGTATATGTAAAGCTTTGCAAACACATCTTGTGACCGCTGCACATGTGAAGGCCCAGTGCTGACCAGTGCCTGCATTCCAACCACCCTTCGAGGCGGATGCTCCACCCGAATCAGGAAAATTCTGCCCGTCCGGTCCCAAAGTCCAGGAGGTTCCCCAAGTGGCGTATCTAAACCTGAAAGGGTGGTGAATTGACTTAGAGGATGTAAACCTCAAGTTGACCTGAGATGGAGAGGATGGCTGATAATTCTCAGCCTGCAAGGGTGTCTCCAAGCTCTAATTGAGAGTTGAGAGTTTTTGTTTTCATCAACAGTGTGACATCAAAAAGGCTGGATGCCCTCCGATTCCATCTGCGCTCGGTGCACCATTCATTTCCAGGAGCTCTCCAACGATGGTGCGATCTTCATTGATCGGGCACCACGGTGTCAATAGGATTTGGCAGGATTTTCAAGTGCAGCATCAAGCCATCAATGCTATGGGTCTTGACGAACTCTCAGGGTCAATAAGGTGGTTGTCCAGATGTCTTCCATCCGGCCTACGATGAAGGTAGCACACCACCTGTTTGGTATTCAGAACAATGGTCACCCTTCCGGGGGCCAGGCCATCCACCAAACCATGATTTCAGGGAGTTGAAGCCAGTGCCACGTGTCAATGGGACGCGCCTGTTGTTTTCATGGGTGAACAGCACCTCGTTGCATTCCAGTGAATCTTGGACCTGGTTTGGTTAAGATTAGGATTATATAGATTAGGATCATTTGGACAATGTCCCCTTCACTGTAGCATGAGGCAAAGGAGCCATACCCCAAGGAGGTTGGTGTCACCAACTAAAGCCTCCAATCGATGACAGCATTTTGGTTGGATACGGAACGGATTGACATGTTCTGCACTAGGCCACGTGCTACTGTCGGAGTGCCTGTTTTAAGATGAAGCCATTTAATCAGCACGTATGCCCTATTTGAAATCCTACGCTCAGTGTAGAGAAGCCTTTTGTTCTATCTTCATATAAAAAGGGCTTTCCCTTGAACATTAAGATTTCAGAGGAGGTCCGACAAACCCATAGACACATAGGCTTAGGTCTTTGTTCACTCCAGACCTTTCGAGTTGTCTCATGCCGTACAACCACAAATGGTTGTGTGATCAACCAGGGCATGTGCAGAGGTTACAGGTCTTTGACCTCCGCTTTGTCAGGACCCCAAGCACTTTCCCGTGATCCTGAACCACTTGAGACACCCGGAGAGAGAGAAATGCGGACAGGGACGTCGATCTGGTGAGGGATGTTCAAAGAGATTGTGAGGTACATCCAAATTTGAAGCATGTTCAGGCCCAGCGTGCATGACAGGAATACTGGCAGGAGATGCCAGGAGATGCCAGGAGTGTTTCCACTTGGAACCGGAGAAGCGTGCATGTTCGTCGTCCACGCGTCGTCCATGGTGAGGGGGAGGGAGCTTCGCTTCATGAGCTGAGGAAGCAAAGCAGAAGGACGACAGACGTTCAAAAACCCCTGCAAGTGGTCCTGCAAGGACTGCTGAAAGCAACGACACGGACGTCGATCATGTGGACGGGGCAACGACCCTGAGCGGTCAACATCGACGGACGGCCACGGACGGGCAATGTGTCATGAAATGTCTGATCAAGATGGCAGGTAGGTGGCACCGTTTTTGGTATGTTATGACCAAGATTGACTAACCTAACCTTTTAGCTGAAAAAATTGTTCCTTTGTCAACTCCAGGACAGAATGAGAGTCGCTCTATAATAGCTCAAAGGATTGTTCTTGTTAAGAGAAGTATCCGCCTCCAAATCGCCTGGCAGAGGACTGATTTTTTCCCCAAATGTCCGGTTGAAACCAATGGTTCCTCATCTTGTTCCTGTAGGAGGGGCATTCGGTGATGTTGCCCAAGGACCCCAGCAACTTGGGCGAAACCGGACAGACTTTGGATCAGGACAAGTGGGCTGTTGTAATAACCCCGTGCTCAGTGGTTTAGTATTGGCATGCACCTTAACACTACTAATGCATTCCTACCCCAGAAAACGATAAGAGTAAAAAAACGATAACAATGATTATACCTGCACATTCAGAACAAAAAGCTACTAGGGGCTCCTGGCCTTACTACTAGGAACAAGAAGCTGCTAGGGACTCCTGGCCTTACTACTAGGAACAAGAAGCTACTAGGGACTCCTGGCCTTGCTACTAAGAACAATAACAGAAAGCTACTAGGGACTCCTTGCCTTACTACAAAGCAACATCGCTACCAGGAACAAGAAGCTTTTAGGGGCTCCTGGCCTTACTACTAGGAACTGAATGGGCTGTTTGGTCCATATGCTGCAGCTGTTTACATGAACCACGAAAATGGCAACCTGCAGAGGTGTCCGGAACGATAACAAAACGATAACGAAAACGATAAGGAAATATAGCAAAAAGCAGCCCTTGTGGGCAAGTACCCATTTGACTGTTTTCATTAGACCTTTTGAAGGGCAGAAGTGTGCGATGTGGTAGTCTTGTTTAGCTGTCTATATCTAATCTTTGCTGCTGCCATGTCTTTACCACCAAAAACGGTGCACGCCTTGGTACAGGCAGTGCTACGGGATCCTGAAGTAGGACCATGTAGACCACCAAAGGACATCTTTTGATTTGTGATCTTCCACCAAAGATGCTTTCACCTGAGAAAACGATACGAGTAGAAAGAAGCGATAACATGGTTTCGAGGTATTGCAAAAGACACGGGGTTTTTACAACACCCCAAGTTTCATTCTCATGAGATGTGCAGAGGAAGCATGAGGAAGCAGTCCATGTTGTTTTGGGGGGAGTGAGGGTTTTGTAGAGAAGTGGGATGAGTTAGGTGTGGAGATGCTCCTTTTCTTGTTGAGGAAAGCTAGGGTAGCTCCAGAGCCCCGAAACGTCGCTTGCAGGATGTGTTTTATCATAACCGGTTCTTTTAAGCAAAACAAACATCACATTTTATGAGAAAAATAACCGTTCCCAAAAACATTTGAAGCTCTTTTTTTGTTCTGAAAAATCCTCACCAAACACAAAACCAAAAAAGAATCATATTGACCTTCTTTTTCTTCCAAAAATACCGAAAGAAAACAAGAAACCTTAAACATATTACGTCTTTCGCACGTGTTTCCCGATACATGGGCCGATACATGTGGCTGTGAGGCGAGCTCCGCGACCTCTTCATCGAGGCGGAGCACTTCGGCCTCCCAGAGCTCCGTGGCCGGTGCCCCGGTCGCCACCCACCACCCCAAGGCTGTATGGCTGTGTGATGGCGCCGAAGGACGGCTCTGCTTTTTGGTTCACCGAAATCAGAGGCACAGAATAAGACTAAGAAGTGATCAGACAAGCAATAAGATGGGTCACACAAGGTTTCACCTTTTGGGTTCACCTAAGTGACGGGTTCACCAAAAAGCAAGACATGCTGAACCTACCAATTGGACTAGGAACACAGCCGAAAACTGGCTACTTTCCGGAACGTGAAGCTTGGACCCCCAAAAGCCATAGATATGGGGTAAATGGGTCCCAAAACCCCCGGTAGGTCCACCTACTCCGTTCCAAACCGTACTGGTCCACCCCAGTCTGTCCCATACCATGCAGGGTGTGTGTTTGGACTGGTTTTCACTCCTTCCAAAAGGAGTTCCAGCATTTTGCTCCACCCGAGGATTCTGAAGAAGCGGAAGGTGGCGCACATGGTGAGCCTCTTTTCAGGGAGCGCAGGCACGGGTCGCAACAGGAACAGGTCATGTGGGATACTCTGTATTTACTTGAGGATGCAAAAATTTTCTGGTACGCTATTGTGATTTGTCAGGAGGACATACGGTTTATATACGTGCCTTCTCCTTTGCTCATACAGACCGCCCATAGTCTTGGATTGGCAAGCAAAACCTTGGGCCCGGCCCTACTGATCCCACAAATTTGCTCAATGCCCAGAGTATACCATTCATGAGTCCCGTGCGCAACGGCACTGGCATGTACCTCCAACCTCAAGGGTCTCACACGTTCCACCCTCCCTGTACAGCTTCATCCACCCTCTCACAAGTTCCACAAGAGCACCTGATCTTTGCCGTGCCACACGCCCAACAAGCGCCTTTTGGCACCAATCCCCACATGCGTCTACGACGTGCACCTGTTGGTGCCGCCCATGGATGTACACACGCGGTACACGACGCTACACTGCCGGTGGCGCCAACGCCAGGGAATCCGTTCGACCTGGCGGCACGGAGCTTGTCCACCCTTCGCAACATGGCCTTGGTCGGCGCCACCACCGCCGCGAGTGGCATGGCGCTGCTGCAGCAGCTCAGGGAGACCGAGGTGCCCGGTTTTCTGTGTCGCATGGGACGTAAATGTTTAGTTACAAGTGCCTAATTTGTAGACTCTTGATTAGATTTGATGAGTAAACCTCGCCATATCGGAAGATGATTTACTTTTCACATCGAAGGTTTATTTTTTCCGAAGCAAGTTGAGTGGCTGTGGCGAAGATGCGTTGATTCCTTCCGAACCAAAAAGAAGGTTTCATGGACGATCATGACAGGAGTTGGTTGTTGGTGGATGTTGATGTTGATGAATTTTGTGCATGTTGCATACTGTCTTGTTTGGACATTCCTATGCCTAGGAAGTCCAGGTCTCTCCCAAATCACAGAAAGTCAAGGAAGAATTCCTGAAGTCCCTGAAGTCACCAAAAAGACCCTTGGTCAAGAAATGTCAAGACATTCTCATGGACTCCCACGTTTCTTTTTCCTGTGAGTTGAAGGCCTTTGGGGCTCCAGAGGCACATGCGAAAGCAGCCGATCCGACTCCCACTCCCAACAGTCCCAACAGCTCTGTCGACCAAAAAGAATGACACCAGCATCGACGCCAGACAGCATGTTGGTGCATATCACAAAAAGCAGGCAAACGTGTTGTTTTTCGTTTTTTTGAGCACTAAGTGCCTATTCTGTTCGACCATGTAGTTAGATGCATGCCAAAAATCCCCACATCATGGGCCCCCTTCCGCCGGTCCGTCCTTCGCAGGTGCCGAAGACGCCCACGCAAGCGCTGGAGACCTTGAAGTCCTTCGCGCCCAAGAGCTGAGCGCCTCCGTCCAACGGACTCCGATGATGTGGCCCGAAGAGCTGTGGATCTTGCAGGTGTTTTTGCAGAGTGGCAAGTCAAGTTCTTAGATGGGAATGGATGCAATGCAAGATGTGTGTGATGCACTTGTGTCATGCTTGGATTGGATAGATATGGGGTAAACTGGATGTTGGACTTTTCTAGAAGCTTCACTTGCCAGCCGTGTGTGTGTGTGTGTGTTGCTTTTCCATGCTCGGCACTGAACAAGCCACAAAACAGGCCATATCCCGTTGGCGCTCAAAAGAGCCGATCGGGTTGTGAGGATCGATTGGAAAAGGCCACCAAAGACCGTCGCTGTCGTGGGTTGTGAAGGGTGTTCCAACTCCAAACCGCAAACCAAACCCTGGGAGTCCAAGACCTTACTTGGACTTCTAGAGGGTATACAGTATATGTCCCTTCTTACTGTTCTATTTTGCTTGCTTGTTTGTCCCATGTTCTTCCTGGACACGTGGGTGTTTTTGGGAGGTGCACGGACTGGACATCTCGCCAAAGAAACACATCAACCAATGGCCTTGCGCCCTTTCTTTCGGCTTACACGTTCGAAAGATTCGATGCCCTTCCGTACCTGTGTGGATCCGATGATTTCTCGGGCTAAGGTGAGATCCTCTTCGATGAGGACGCAAGAAAAAGCATGCTTGTCTTGATTGCAACAGCATGGCACCGGGGGGAGGCCCCTCATTTCACTGTGGATCATTTGAGGCCACATCAATCCTGGCTATCACCATTCAAGAAAAGATGACGATCGCCGTGGTGGAAGCTTGAATTGGATCACAGGTATCAGCAGCTTTTCATGGATTGTAATTGTGAGGTCTTGGTCCATCATCACCCTCCACAAAAACAGGTCACCCTCCCTTTCGGAACCCTTCTTTGAGTCAGGTCACTCAAAACATAGGTGATCATAAGTTTGGGGCAAGGCCCCTTCAGAACGGAGGGTCATGCTTATGTGTAGGATTCAAAGCAGACGCTCCCTACAGACTACTGGTCTACTGAAGTTGATCATGAAAGGTACCATGCACATCCACAATACTCAATGTAGGTCAAGGAGTCAAGGACCAGGTTTTACTGGATCAGGCCTTGGTCCTATCGATACTGCAAAGGAGGGACTCTACCTCAGACCTCAGACCTCTCAGACCTTGGTCTCCTCGGACCGCCTCGGCTTTGGACCGCTAGGCTTCTCGGACGTCCTCTACTTGGACCCCAGTGGGAAGCGGGTCGAAGAGGCCGTTTCTACGAGCCCACACCGGCGGGGGGGGGGGGTTGGTGTTGTACAAAGGCCTTCTGCCCCGTTTGAGGCCAACTAGGCCGACTACGTACAGCTTTCGAGTGACTGACTTTGGGGGCGAAGGCTCGGACCAAGAAAAAGCAAACTCCCAAACCCCCAACAAAACCAACGAAGCCAAGACATGCCAGTTTCTGACACCTACAAAGAGAGGCAGCAACCCCCCAGTAGATCGATCAGCTAGCGCTTCAGCGCACCACCTTTCCCCAATGGAATCCACTTGCGAGCGCTCGCTCCCGCGCCCGGACCGGTCGCTGGTCTCAGGCGGCCGCGAGCAACTTCTTTTGCGTCACCAAGGCGGCATGGACAGACTCCGGGAGACCTGAGGATGCTGAGGGGGGGTCCATTGAGGCGGCGGGACCCGGCGTCGAATTGGCTGATGAAGGCGGATGAAGATGGCTGGGAATGGGGCTCCTGGCCGCCTGGCCTACTTCTTGAGAAGGTGGTTAGGCTGGGTGAAAGGGGTCTAACCACCCAACCTGAGGAGATGGGCCAGGAGCCATATAGGGATGAGAGATCAAGAGAGAGGTGTGAAATTAGGCGGAAAGGGAAATCCCTCAAGATGGCCTCACTCACTGACGACACTCCCTGAAAGAATCATGCTGGAAGTGGAGTGAGTGAGTGAAAACGCATCCGAGTAGTGTCGCTCTTCCTGTTGCTCATCCGAGTGCTCATCTTCCCGGAATCCGCGTAGGACAGTGCGCGTTCTCCGCACGGGTTCCGCACGCGAGGACGGCAAGCTGAAGACTCCAGCCTTGGGGACCATTCTGTCGACGCCTCGGAGCTGGGTAAACAGAACCACGCTCCGCTCGGACCGAGCCGGAGGGCTTTCGGAGAGACCGGAGGGCTTGGTCGAAGGAATGGGATGGTAAGTGAAGGATAGAATCCATCATTCTATGAGGATCAACTATCCAAAATGTGGCCTTTTTCCATCTTTTTCCTATCAGAGGTCACTCAGGCTCTAGGTAGTCCATGGTCGAAAAGTGCTGGCAGTTCGTGGTGGCATGACAATGTATACATAAAGACTTCTTGAGACTTGAGAGGTGTTTTTGCCGGCTTTTCATGGGGTGTAGGGACTTGGCTTGCTCCATGTATCCGCCACCAGAGCTTGTGTGGAAGCCAGAGCTCCAGTGAAGCCAGGTGCAGGAAACGCTTGAACAACAGGGTGGACCCTTACAGAATTCATCCTCAAGTGGATCGATCGCAGTCTGTAGTTCCTAGCACATCCACATTGTTGACATATATCTATGGCGATCGATCGAAAAAGAACTCTTGGGACCAGTGAAGCTCGACCTAGTCTAATAGTCGTTGTTTGTTCTTGAATTCCTAGGATCACCCAATTTTTAGAGTCTCTTGCCTTCTCTTTCACCTCAGATTACTCTCATTGCTCCTCCTCTCCCCAGCCCTCGTTCGTTCGCGTTCGCCCAGGGCTGGAGTCACCCGAGATTCGATCTTGCAACTGGCGAGGCCGCTCTGGTCGCGACTGAGGAGTGTTGTCTTTTGGTTTGGATAGAGTCATAGATGTCATAAGAGTGATGAGGTACAGGCACAGGCACCACCCTGGCACTGCCATACACTTAGGAGTGGACTGTATGGGTACCAGTTAGGCACCACCCAGACTTGTTTCGAGTGGATGTTGGGTGGTCGTTTCGACACCCTTCTGAGTACGGGTGGCTGTATCCCAGACACGACCTGTTTGGGACTGCCAGGACGGACTGCCGAGAAACGGCCAGGGGTGGTGCTAGGGGGTCTGTCTGGGGCGGCAGTCCTATGGCAGTCCCATTTGTCGTGTGTGGGTATGTGCATCTTCAGATCCTGCATCTTCAGATCCTGACTTGAGATGATTGATCTCACTGACTCATATTTTTGACTCGAACATAAACCAAGAAGAGAGCAGCTTCTTTCCGGATTGGCCACGCGAGATGAAGCTCCAGACTCTTGGAATAGACAGTCACTTTGATGTGCTAGGAAACTGGTTCTGTTTGATCACGTGGCCAGCAGGTCCTCCTGCTGTTTGGGGCTCCTCCTTTGAAGCAAGCTCATTAACCTCAACAAGTCCCTTTCAACGGACCCAAACTGTATTTGTTGTTGGTTTTCGAAGGGAGGAGGGACTAGATGATGGATTTCCTGCTGCTTTATGACGACGACTACCACCACCAATACTATGATCACTACCACGATCACGACCACCACCACCGCCACCACCACCACCACCGCTACTATCACTACTCCTGCTACCACTACTTTCTCAGAATATCTCAGAATATTAGTATAGGTTTTATTAATTGGTTGAGCTCATGCCAAAGGAATAGAACTTCATTACGCCAAAAAAGCGGTGAAGTCGAGTTCTGGGCGTGAAAACCCACCCCTGGGTGTCGATAGAAGTTCGCCGCAGGCACTCGCCAGGTCGAGGACTACCAAGAGAGGTTAAGAGACCTTATGTGTGTTACATGGGTGTGTAGTTCAAGTAGGGAGGCCTCTGTCGGAATGCCCTCTAGGTTCGCTTCAGAACATCGATGAGACCCAACCTGGTGGGGCTGGTGTGGGGTCTCCCTATTCAAATTACATACATGCAACATGTACATACCTATATAGTTTGGGATAGGCTGGGGTCGCCACTGGCCTTCTTGGGGTGAGAAACACCCTGACTGGTAGGACTCCCTGCTTCCGAACAAACCGGAGGCGTTTGGCCACGCAGAGCGACTTGATCAACTCCGTGGAGGCCTTTGGGACAGCAAGTTCTGGGACAGCGTTCGAGCCGGGAGTTGCTAGCGGAATTCCGTGGTGAGTTTGAGGGATTGGGATGGTTATGGATGGTTAGCTATGCCCTAGAAGTCCAGTTCGACTATATTTTGACCGACTGAAAGTAAAGGAAATTCCTGAACTCGGGTCACCTAGTCAGACCATTCTTTTATAGTCTTTGACTCCCAGGGTAGTCTGTAGGATGTGGGATAGTCTGTAGGATGTGAATCTGATTGGTGAGTGCCTCGTCCACTGCGACGCCTAGCGCCCTGTGCGGGGGTCCAAAAGCCAACATGACGAGGGTCCGTTCAAAGGAAAAGATCTCATGGAAGCCGTTGAAGACCAAAGAACAAGGAACCATAAAAATAAGACAAACCAAGAAGAAGCAAGATTAGCAACCAGGGACAGAAAAAGAACTCGCTAATAAATGCCAAAAGACACTCCGCATGTCCAAGAGGGATACCCAAGTGACCAATGTTACACAACACATGGATGTTGACATCGGTTTTGCGGAGTGTATGGCGATATATATGTTACCAAATTGGGTGAATCCCCAAACCAGGGGGGTCAATTGTTCTTGTGGTTTTCACCTTTTTTCCTTGCTTCCGGTATTATCAGTTCCACTAAAACCTAGGTGTTGAGCATTGTTTAGCTAATTTGTGTTCATGTTGTTCAGACCAGGCCTCCTGAGATTTGGAGAAACTATATAAAAAAGAAAAATGAGTGCGATAAAGTATGATTGGTTTTCGCAATTCGGTAGTGTCATGTTGTTCGAAGCTGTCTTGGTTTTGCAATCATATTATCTCACACATGTTTGTTTGGTTATTTGGTGAAGCACCTCTTGGACAATTTGCCTTGAAGCTCTCTATTTACATAGATTCCCAACGTTTATTATTGCAGAACGTGGGCAGCATACATTTAGCACATCAGGTGTTCTTCAATATACATATACAGATACCGATTGTTATTTTCCTGATACTGATACTGTTGCATAGTTTTTTAAAGTTTTGTTTGACGGCTTTTGGGGAGTCCTGGCGCCACTGTGCTTCCCACAGGACCAGAGGGAGGTGTCCACATTCAAAAAGTGAGCAGCAAATGGAGCACCAAGTGTTATGTGTGTTTTGCTTAACATGTTCTATACTCTCAACTGTGCTTTTGAATTGACCAAAAGGAAAGCTGCTTCAATCGTAAAGGGTGTTCTTGGTCAAGTTGATTTGTTTTGTTTTGTGTTGTGTGTTCTTTCCTGAACACATTGTTTTCTTAAGAACATTAAGATCCAAAGAACAAAGGAAGACATTACCAAAGAAGGTCATGAAGTAGACCAGGTGCAAGATAATTTATTAACATTTATTCATGCAGAAAGCTACTGGGAAAGGCGGTGCGGCGTTTCTATTGTTCTATAGTAGGTGAACTCTTTCTACATGTTAGACTGCGTGTTAGTATTGAGCACCAAATGGAAAGCTTCAATCTTCACAAGATTGCTTTTCTAGGTCAAGTTGCTTTGCTTGGTTTAGCTCTTTCAAACCAGGTCATGAGCGGTCGACCGAACGGCAAGAAGATTGGTCGAGTTTGCCCTTGGGACCCGAGTGAACACGTGGACATGTCTGTCTCCCCTGCTATTCAGACCACATGGAACCCCATGAACCAGCGCACACGGTGTGCAAAGGAAGACATCGGCTTCCACCGGTCAATTCTCAGGTTCCATGGGAAGATCGTTGGCAAAACCAAAGGACCTGGGACCATTCGGAGCCCCCCTACCCACTGGAAGAGGTGTAAACGTTCGGTAGTTCCTTTACCTACCCCGGGACCTACCCCGGTGAGTGTGGATGACCATTGGCTCATCGTATTTTTTGGGGCCGTCGGGTTTCTCCCACTCGAAGTCTTAGCCCCAGAACGGGCGGAAGAAAGCTCAAAGTGCATCGGCCAGATGTGTGGGAACAATCCATGGGGGATGACGGTTCGCTTGGTCGCTGCAAGGAGACGAGCATCACCTTGGATGAGATCCTCCAGGCCAAAGAAGCCTTCGTCACTGGCACGGCGGCGGCGGCTGGAGCCTCAGGTTCGATCTCCTGAGATGTGAAGAAGGAGTACCAGGAGTGCCTTGCTAATGATGATCTAATTATGATAGGTTTTATTGATTATAGATAGGTTGTCATGTTTTTCACCATCCCAAGACCTCCCCAAAAAGGAACCACGCACTTGCACTTGCATGAATCCATTGGGGATGAATCAGTTAAATGGGCTTGGCCACGAATCCTGACCCATCCTGTCGCCGAAGCCTCCCCTTGGGCCTTGGCGTTTCATCGCTGAGGTGACGCCCGTGGGGCATGTGGCCTCTGTGCTTTGCCAAGACTGAGAGAGTTGGGATGGGATTCAGGATGATTTAGGCCCCTGGCGGCCAGGAGTTCGATGCTATGCTTGATTGGAGTGGATCCAGTATCCGTGGTACTCCTGGTAGGCCATGGCTTTCCATGGCTTAGATGTCTTTGGTGAGCGCCATGTTGACATGGAGCGAACCTCACCACTTCCCGGAATGAAGATGTGGCTGCCATGAGGGTGACGAAGAGGAGAATTCTGAACCCAAAGAAAAGATGGTGAAAAAAGGTTTCCACGTGTCCAAGGAGTTCTTGAGACCCGATCTGGAGATCAATCCCACTCACCAGCTGCGCCAGCTGCGCACCTCCAAATCCGCACCGTTTTTTTTTGGTTCTGCAAACCGCACTGCGCGCTGTGAGGATGATGGCTCGGTGGATTTGGAGGTGCCAGGCCCTGTCACGGCCAAGTTGAAGGACTGCACTGAGTGGAGAGAGAGGCACTCGGAGCGCATGCTTTGGGATGGACCATGATTGACCGTGCGCACGTGTACCAGGAGTTCACTTACTGGAGATCCCCAGTGGTTTCTAGGGATTTCTGCTGGTGCAGGAGGCGGCCCAAGCATCCCTTGATGGCTTGATGGTGTGCAGATGATCGATGATCCGTCCCAAGCTTTGTCACTCCCAACAAAAGGCCTGCAATTCCTCCGATTCATCAGAATCATAGTACTCTATTTTCGGTGAGGTCTTTGTAGCTCAAACCCTCAGATAGGTGAAGAACTGGCAGGCGTGTCTGAGAACGAAATGAAGGGGTGCATCATAATGGTGCCATAGAGTCCATACCCACAAGCTCACAGCCTTTTGTTCAAATGAGAGCAACTCTCATACATGGGAAGCCAGCATGCTCTTCCTGCAAACTCCTGACCGGTAAGAGAGCAATCTCATGGGAAGCGTAACCCCTTTGAGACAGCTCGAGACTTCAACTTCGGGGGCAACCACCGGGCAATCCTTCAGGACTGGCGCACTATATGGCGCACTGAAATCAGCCAAAGTAAGTTGTGAAACCTTGTAGTCCTCATCAGCAGCACCAAATGAACATCCATGAGCCACGCGGAGTGTTGGACGCGAAGACTCGTGTTCTCGCGGGAAGATGAGGATCCTCAGGAGTTTTACTCCAAGATCCTCAGTGTACATTCCGTGAGTACAGTCCTCCGGAACCATGTCAAACATCAAACAGATCGACAACATACAATCCCGATCGGGATCCGTTTTCGTACCGAACCTCAGGTTCGGTACGACTTGACCCGACGTTTTGGCACCTACATAACAGTGTCTCCAATTACCGTACCTCAGAGTATGTCGATCCCGAATCCCGAATGAATAACATACAACGACACGACAAGAACCACGTATCAGGACCCAGAGTCGGGGTTGTTCAGTTAATGGCCATGGCGGCGGCAGCGGCGGACGTCCAGCAACATGTTGCGAAGACAGAGACGAACGCGTCGGTGGTGGAGATGTTGTTGAAGCTTGGGTCGCAGGAGTATGGCCTCGCTATGGAGTATGGCCTCGCCATCATGTCAATCATGTGAAATCCATTTTTATCCGAAAAACGGGTCAGTTTTGACCATATTTTCCTGGGGTTGATCATAATTAGAGGGAAAGGAAGATAAACCAACCACCAATCCCAAAATGGGTGGAATTGTGGCAGCTTAGGTGAGGCTTGCGTGAAGGGGCCTCACCTAAGCTCACTTGAAAGAACACTTGCTATACCAGGCCACTTACTTTAAGGCCTCAAGGCCCGTAACAGGTCAGTTAAGGCAGAGATCATGGACGGTGACCAAGTCGTCCTGGTGGAAGCATATATCAATACAAGTTCCGGTCCTGGTGTGCATATCAAAGGAAATAAAAGGAAAGACCTGGCATGAACATCAAAGCATATATAACCCAAGGGAATAACCTGTACAGAATCAGGGAGCCTGGGTACCAAAATCAGCTAACCGTACACCAAGGTATATCAAGATCATGCCCAGGCCCCATGCTGGAAAGTGTCGAAGATGGCTTGGTTGATGGCTTGGACTCCTACTTGGCAACTGAAGGGGTTCCGCACCCTCAAAAACAGCTTTCTGGCAACCTATTTACATTCTATTCGCCTAATCACACTTCATCCACTACCTGGCCTTCCAACTCACATTTGTTGGATTTTGCTTGGCATGTTGCAGAAAAGATTCCAATATCCCCAGTTCCACCTCGGCCAGTTCCACCCAAAACCTCTGCCAGTTCCCCCCCGTTCCCAATCCGTTCCTTCCCACCACCCTAAAGGTCGGTACCAAAGCCGCCCAAGCCGTCGCCTTCCCAAACCAGCCGTCAACCGTCGCTAGGAAGCCGCCCATCTATTGGCTCTTCCATTCCTGGCGTCTCTTTGGCCCCTCGGTGCGCGGAGAGCGCGGAGAGCGGAGCGCGGAGAGCGCGGAGGCAACGACGACGACTTGGCTTACGTCTCAACCCCAAAGATCTCGGATCTGAAGAGAGTGTTGTTTTCGGAACTGAAATGGACCAAGCATTGAGAACGCCAGACAAATATGGCCGATCACGTCCCGGCTCGATCCCAAAACAGGACGGCTCTTTGGGGTCCCTCTAGGGCTCCACGTACTGACATTTGGGGTCCAAATTCTGTCACCCAAAGACCGCGGGTTCCGCGGGGCTTGGCCGCGTGGCCTCTTCCGGCGGCCGTCTGACAACGGCAGGAAGGACCCACCGTTGTCACGTCGTCATCATCCATAAAGGCCTTAAATTCCTAAAATAGTCATATACCCTACTTATGACACTAATGTAGGATAATGTAGGTAAAACTAGTCCATACATGCATTGTCTGGGTTTGGATTCCTGGAGACCCATTTCCCAGACACCTCGTGTAAATCCAAGCGACTGGACGGTGACCTCCCAGGATACATCCCTTTGCTGCCGCCCCTGTTGGCGTATCAACCGGTGAAGACGGTTGCATTGATGACCGCCTATGCATCCGTGCACCGCAAACGCTGGTGGCAAGAGGCAGTGCACAGGAGAGCGCCGCACGCGGTTTGGAGTGGGAAGACTTGGTCCTAGGTTGGGAAGGCCAGGAGCCCCGAACGTAGTGTCCTTGCTGCTAGTACTAAGGCCAGGAGCCTCTAGTAGCGTCCTGCTCCTAATAGCGATGCCAGGAGCCCCTAGTAGACTAAGTCCTAACCATGTCGTCTCATGTTGTTGCTTCGGAGCTCACCTTTTCGCCAAAAGCAACGCGAACTCACCGGGTGTGTGTATGTTTTTAAGAGGGAGACGCCTTTTTCCGGGTGTTGCTTTGTGTCCTTCTTCCAGGGGGTCGAACTGGGAGGTCTCCCTGTTTTTCCCGAAAGCATTGCGAAGGGTTCTTCCGGAAAATCCTTTGAACACTGACACTTCGACACTTACACTTACACACTGACACTTTCACCACGTGGAAGTATGCAAGTGTAAGTATGCAAGTGATGAGTATGCAAGCATGCAATGCGTATGCAAGCATGCAACAAGCATGCCGGAAGATGAGAACTGGCGACTTTCTAGTACAACTTTAGTACGCGGAGTATCTGGGGAGCTGGAAGATGAGAACTGGCGACTTTGTAGTACAACTTTAGTACGCGGAGCAATCTGTGGAGCTGGAAGCTGAGAACTAGCGACATTCTAGTACAACTTGAGTACGCGGAGCAATCTGTGGAGCTGGAAGATGAGAACTGGCGACTTTGTAGTACAACTTTAGTACGCGGAGCAATCTGTGGAGCTGGAAGCTGAGAACTGGCGACTTTGTAGTACAACTTTAGTACGCGGACTATCTGGGGAGCTGGAAGATGAGAACTGGCGAAGTTGTAGTACAACTTTAGTACGCGGAGTATCTGGGGAGCTGGAAGCTGAGAACTGGCGACTTTGTAGTACAACTGTAGTACGCGGAGCAATCTGTGGAGCTGGAAGCTGAGAACTGGCGACT